CAGAGGAGTAAGGTTTCGATATTCGCGAGAGAGTCTTCAACCGCGGTCAGCCGGGTTGCGGGGTCGGAAGCCAGGTCCGGGAGCTCGGGTTGCACGGACCCGTCTCCGGGCGTCGGGGCGTCCATCAAGGAGGAGGGGTCGAGATTGGAAGTGGGGGAGGCCGGAGCGCTAGCGTAGCGGTCCGAGTCCGAGTCTACACCGAACTTCGCAATCTTGACCAGTTGATCCCTTAGATCCTTTCTTCTGCTGTAAGGGCAACCTCAGCTCAGCGCGCGAGCACGGGAACTAGCGGGAGAATCCGAAGTAAACTCAATTCATGGTACTAAATACAGAGTTCTAGAATACGCACCTAGCGGGAGAATCCGAAGAGAAGAAAGGATGAGGATTCCCACGCTAGGCGAGGTTTTTTATAGGTACTAGCCAGTAGCACGTGTCCGAAGCGATCGGCAGTGATCCCAAGCTTGATCGCATAGTATGTTCCAGTGCGAGCGGCCGGACGAAGGGAAACGAAGGGGAACGGAGTCCGGAGGGACGGAGGGCGACGTTCCGGGCAAGGCCGGACGTTCGGGCGAGGCCGGACGCGGAATAGGCGTTGGACGAAGGATCAGACGAGGCAGCGGGGCAGTGCGATGGGCCAGAGCCGGACAGACGGACGGACGGACGGGCGGTTCCCCTGACACCAAGTGCAATCAAACCTTTCTCTCCCCACCTCCACCCCTGCATAAATGTAAATATTTGTGGCAGTCTGACTACTAGAATCTGAAAAGCAGGCATGCAGAAAGAAAATGAATTCTGGACTGCCTCCCCCCATCGCTCAGGCCCGAGTCGAACGGGTGATGTCTGCTGATGTGGTCTTCAATTTAAATAAGATACAGATGCACATCCATCCTAGTGCAACCAAGGCTTTCTCTGCCTACTTTCATTCCTTGATAAACCTTGAATCATTCATGCTCTGCACGAAACCATTTTGTGCCTGATCCATGGCTCAGGCCCGACTCGAACAAGCTTAGCTTCTTCTGAATAATGCTGATTGAGTGTAGATACACATCCGAGTACTACAAAGCACTTTCCTGCTCATGTCCACTCTCTATAAACTTCCTTCCACTTAGGCTCATTTATGTTGCAAAAGAATTGCAAAGCCCAAGCATGGCTCGGGCCCGAGTCGAACAGGTGATGCCTGCATAATCTGTGCAGGATGCTCAATCATGAGATGCACTACCAAGCCACTTCTTTCTTAATTTCATCTCTCTATAATGCCACTATTATTCAGGCTGTGGGTTTTGCAAAAATGATCTTAGTATGTAGTAGTCAAATGAGCATCTGCACAATGCCTACCGCGACTAGGACTAGAGATGGCTCAGGCCCGGGCCCAAGTTGAACGGGCGGGCGGTGTCTGCATGATATATAAACCACGCACCAGCATTGACAATCACATAGGTGCAGATGCACATCCGAGTGTGACCAAGCCTTTCTCTACCCACTTTCATCCCTTCAGAGATCTGATATTATTTTTACTGTGGTAAAAAGAATTTTTAAGGTACTTGGACCCGAGTCAAACGGGCTCCCCTGCACAACACATCGTCGGGGTGCCAATCAGATGCAGGGTACTCAGAGTGCTACCAAGCCTTTCTGTGCCTACTTTCACCCCTATAAACCGACAGCTGGAACCTGAAACACATGCAAAAAAATCTATTCAATAACCGCAGCAAGCAGTCAAACGGGCTCCTCCTGTATAGGCCACACTGAAGGAAAGCATAAATTCCGAGTGCTACTGAGCCTTCCTCTACCTCTATTCACCAATTTATAAACCTGGTATTGTTTCTACTATGTTCAAAAAGATTTCGACGAATTTATTATGGCTCAGGCCCCCGAGTCGAACGGGCTCCTCCTGTATAGGCCACATTGTGGGAAAGTATAAATTTCATGCAGCGCACATCCGAGTGCTACCAAGCCTTTCTGTACATCTATTCACCCATTTATAAACCTGTATGATTTCTGCTGTGTTCAAAAAGATTTTGGGGAAGTATTTTCGGATGGCTTGGGCCTGAGTCAAACAGGCTCCTTCTGCATAAGGTCCAGAGAATACGTACTATCAGATACAGAGCACTCCGAGTGCTACCAAGCCTTTCTCTACCTACTTTCGTCTCTTCTGAAGAGACATCTGATATTATGTTTACAGTGCTAAAAAGAATTTGGAGACAGCATCATGGCTTGGGCCGGAGTCAAATGGGCTCCTTCTGCATAAGTTTTGTATTTTGTAGCCCGAGATGTAATGCAGATGCACATTCGAGTCTGACCAAGCCTTTCTCTTCCCATTTCTCCCCCTACTTGACTTACTCAATATGTATTAGTAGCCTTTTTACTGTGCCCAAAGGACTTTGTTTAGTTGAGTAATGGCTCAGGCCTGAGTCGAACAGGCAGTGTCTGCATGATATATATCACGCACCAGCATTGACGGTTATGAGATGCAGATGCACTCAAAGTGCTACCAAGCCTTCCTGTACCCCCTTCCATCTCTCTATAAGCTCTGTGATATTTCTGTGGGTGTTGGAAAAAATGATTTTGGACTGTGTATGGCTCAGCCCTCAGCCCTCTGGCAGGCCCGAGTCGACCGGGTGATGTCTCCATAATTGAGCAGAGTCACAATAGGGGAATTCATGGTAGGCACTATTTTCCTGTTTGTAGATGAAAATAGAATGAATAAAGTCATCATTTGTGGAATAAATGTGTGATCACCCCATTTGTGTGGCACCTATTATTTTTATTGTTTCCATATGAATATATTTTACAAACGGGGGTTTATTCCACAAACGAGATTAAATCTTGTTTGTGGAATATCTTCGTTTGTGGAAATATTGGTCCCATCACTTAATTATATTTATTCACAAACACGAAATATTCCCTACCGTGAATTCCCCTAATAGATAGGATTCGCATGAGCCACACACGGCTTTTGTCACTTGCGCAAAGCCGCACGGGATTCTCTCTTTCTTGCAGGTAAAACATGATTATTATACATCTACACTTGCATTCCATGTCTGCAAGTTGTGCATGTTCAGTATTCTTGAATCTGCTCAGGCGGGCGAACCTGTGCAAGCCGTTCTTTGATGACATCACTGTCGCGGCTTTTGTCTTACGGCCAATGGCTGTCAATCCGCTGCATCATTGATGCTCCACTGCAAGTTTGGGAACATACGAGGGATACTGTGGACATGAATTCCATCCCTTCTATCGAAATATATGGCATTCAGGCTTGTGATCCTTTTCTTTTGGCGCGGCTTTGCACAATGCACGAAAGCCGCATGAAGCCGCATGCAGCCCATGCGGCTTTTGCGCATCCTATCTAATGTTAATTATAATGAGATGCGGAGCACTCCGAGTGCGACCAGATCAAGCCGTACTCCCTCATTTACCCACCTGTATATATACCGTTTAAATTTCAGTCTGCAGACAGACTGCATGCTCAAAACAAAAAAAAAAATTGTAGACCAAATTCCGACCATGGCTCGGGCCCGAGTTGAACGGGCTCCTTCTGCATGAGTTTTGAATGGCTATGAGATGCAGATGCACATCCGAGTGCGACCAGGCCTTTCTCTACCTCTATTCATGGGTTTATAAGCCTGGTATTGCTTCTAGCTAAGTTCAAAAAGATTTTCACGAATTGATCATGGCTCAGGCCCGAGTCGAACGGGCTTCGTCTGCACACTAATCATCAGAGTTGCAGATGCACAGACAAACATCCAAGTGCGACCAAGCCGCTCTCTGTGTGTACCAACCCCATATATGTAAACTTCCCTTCTTTCTTCATGTCACCCACCAATCCAAGTCCGCGCTCACCAGATCATAAACCTGATAAGTGTTATTTCTGCTGTGTTAAAAAAAAAATTGTTTCATCCAGTCCAGTCTTCAATGGCCTGAACCTTCGTTCTGTCAAACATTGCCAGGATATAAGATGTACTCCAAGTGCGACGAAGCCTTTGTTTGACACCTACGTAAGTACATACAACCTGAAGGGCACCCAAAAGAAAAGAAAAAAACACTGATTCGTCATCCATGGCTTAGGCCCGAGTCGAACGGGCAGTGTCTGCATGATATATATACCATGCACACAATTAGGTGCAGAGGTGCAGATGCACATCCGAGAGCAACCAAGCCTTTCTGTACCCACTTTCATCCCTTCAGAGATCTGACATTATTTGTGCTGTGCCCCAAAAAAACCTTTTGTATTTCTTGCCATGGCTCAGGCCCAAGTCAAACAGGCTCCTTCTGCACAATGTCGGCTAATGGCAGGGCAAGGTTATGAGATGCAAGACACTCTGAGTACCAAGCCTTTCTCTGGCTACTTTTGGCCCCATGGCATAAAGCTGTATGAACTCTGCTGTGCCAAAAAATGCATTGTGTATATTGCTTGTTATGGCTCAGGCCCGAGTCGAACGGGCTCCTTCTGCATAATGCACAGCTCTGCTGATTTATAAGATGCAGAGCACTCTAAGTGCGACCAAGCCTTTTCCTCCTTGTATTCAGCCCCAGTATATACACATGTGATCCTTTCTAGGAATGTGAAAAAAACCAAAACGTCGGGATATCACACAAAACGCATTATTGGATTTGCACTATGGCTCAGGCCCGAGTCGATCCGCATAATCAAGCAGGCAGCGTCCGACCAATGTGATGCACAGCACTCCGAGTCCGAGTCCGACTGAGCCTTGCCCTGCAGCTGCTTATATTCACGCTCTGCAAACCTACACTTCGTTCTGCTCATTTACATCCCAACAGAAAAAGAAAGAGAAAAAAAACACTGAGGCGATGGCTTGGGCCAGAGTCGAACGGCTCCTTCTGCATAAGTTTTATAGTATGTAATCATATATGAGATGCAGATGCACATCCGAGTGCGACTAAGCCTTTCTCTTCCGACCATCTCGCACCCTACATAACCTCAATATTAAGTAGTAACCTTTTTACTGTTCCACAAAAACTTTGTTTGGTCGGGTAACAGTTATTGGCTCAGGCCCGAATCGAACGGGCTCCTTCTGCATAACCTTTGTGGGGAGCTGGATATGAGATGCAGATGCAGATGCACTCCAAGTGCTACCAAGCCTTTCTGTACCCACTTCCGTCTCTCTACCACCTGTCTGATAATTCTGTTGGTGTGGTGTTAGAAAAAATGATTTTGGACTGTGCATGGCTCAGCACCCAAGCCGAGTCGACCGGATGATGGCTGCATATGTAATTGAGCAGAGTCGCGATGTTGATTATGATGAGATGCGAGCACTCTGAGTGAGACTAGACCAAGCCGTTCTCCCTCATTTATCCGCCTCATGTGAACCGTTGAAACTTCAGAGCCCAGTCTGCAGTCAGACCGCATGCTCCCAAAATAAAAATAAAAATAAAAAAAGACTGGACCAAATACACATGGCTCGGGCCCGAGTCGAACGGGCTCCTTCTGCATAATGCACATTACTACCCATTTATAAAATGCAGATGCACTCCGAGTGCGACCAAGCCTTTCCTACTTGTATCCAGCCCCAATAGAGAGTTTGCGCAAAGCCATATGAGCCATTATATGGCTTTTGATTTTGACCACCATGGCCAACCCGGCTGAGGAGTTGATTCCATCCAATAGAAGCCTCAACCAGCAGCAATTGACGCCCCAGAGACAACCCAAAATATCTGACTAATGTGTCGAAAATTTCCATTTTTGATAGCCATAAGCCACGGTGTGGCTGTTGCGCAAACTCGCTAATATATACACATGTGACCCTTTCTAGGAATGTGAAAAAAAAATGTCGGGATATCACACACTAAGCCAAAAACACATTGGATTGCACTATGGCTCAGGGCCGACTCGTCGAATGGGCTCCTTCTGCATAAATTCCGCATTAAGTATGTAGCTGAGATGCAGAGTGCGACCGAGCCTTCTGCTTATATTCACCCTCTGCAAACCTACACTCATTTACATCCCAAAAAAACAATAATGACAGAGGCAAATGGCTTGGGCCCGAGTCGAACGGGCGATGGCTGCATAAATTTTGTAGTAGCTGGATGCCATATAAGATGCAGGGCACTCCGAGTGCGACTGAGCCTTTTTGTGTGTACCTTCGTCCGTGTATAAATTATTCTCCTTTCCGTGCTCAGGAAGAGAAAGGAAAGGGTGCACGATGGCTGGACTGACTCGGATGCAGGGCAGGGCACGTGAGTGCGACCTCACTCACTCAAAGTCTGTGCGTATTTCCGTCCTTTGATACACCAGATACGCATCAAACTAAGTAAGGCATGGAGCCTTCAAGGAAGGCATTTGTCGTCATGCGCCAGGACCAGGCGACGGGGAGCCAAAGAGGTCTCACGGCCGTCAGGAAAGAAGGTGAGTGGGGTGTCAGGAATAGGCGGGCTCTCACGGATGTCCCAACCTAGAGGTACGTATCCCCAAACCCCAGACATGGTGTGCCAAGGTATTTATAAGACGGAGGAGGTGTCAAGCGCATGTCACTGTCAGAGGGAATTGCGCCAAGGTATGTATGTAGGTATTATGAGGACCTGGGTGTAACGCGCTAGAGCGATGAGAGGACGGGTCAGGCGGGGTGGGCAGGCGGACGGGATGGTATTTGCTGTTAGAATGGACTGGAATAGAATTGGAATTGGAATTGGAAGGTGGAGAGGGTGGGTCGAGACATCGGAAGGCATACAATTGGTTTAGACGCAGATGGCCGGGGCCGAGGCCGCCACGAGATGCTTGACAGTGAGAGTGACTCGGAATTGACGTTTGGGTGGGGATCGAGAGGAATTGGAGGAGAAATTTGGGAGGCGAGCCAAAGAAAAAACTCAATTCGTTGTCGAGGATACGTGTTTCGTGGCCCCCGTAGCACCGTGAACGAGAAGGAGAGAAGCGCCCGACGATTCGCCAGCACACGAGCGACGGATGTAGAGCGTGTGAAACTTGGATCTGGTGACCCCTTACGGGTCACATGTGGATGGGGACCCAAGCTTGGTTCCTGCCGCACCTATTCCGCTAGACGTTAGACTCTCCTTCTCTCTCTCTCTCATAGACCATAGACGCAAGAGGACTATAGAGCAGCAGACACACCCACCGACTCCGCCATGAGTCAGTCCCCCGCGGCCGACGATCGCCGACCCCGCGAGACCTCTGGAGGAGGCGGGATAAACAGCGGAAGAGCAGCGTCGCAGCCGCCACGCCAGAGCACCGAGACGTCTACGCCCAGCCCGAAGCCGTTCATGTCGCCCACCGCACCGCATCCGGTGCCTGGATCGAGTCCCTGGGGCGGGCACGGCCTCCTAGGCGCCAGCGCCAGCCACCGCTCCGCGAGCTTTAGCGCCGGCCCGCGCTTCGCCTCCACGTTCGAGGACGACGAGCTGCTCGACCCGGACGACGTCGATGAGCTGTACGATGCGCGCTACCACTCCCCCACGTCGCCGCATCCGCCCCACAATAACCTCGGCTACCGCGGGCGCACCAGCACCGGGCCCGACCTCACGCGCAGCCGCAGCCAGAGTTTGGCTACTTCCACCGCCACCGCCATCGGCGCCGGCCGCGGGCTAGGCAGCGCCGCCTACGGCATCGGCAGCGCGGCGAACTCGTACTCGAACGCGTACCTATACGGCAACAACGCGTACGGGCACCCGTACGGCGGCGGCGGCCTCTCCGGGTCGCTCTCGGGCTCGCTGGGTGGACGGTACACCGGCTCGCCACTCGTGCGCAGCGGGAGCGTCAGCAGCAGCGCCGCCGCCGCCGAGGACGGCACTAACATGTCCCCCTTCATGCGCGACGTCCTGCTCGACGACGGCAGCTTCAGGGAGCTGTGGGAGCGCGAGCGGGGCGGAGGCGGGCGGGACTTTGCCGACCGCGAGCGGGGCCGTGATTCGGGGTATGGTAGGTGCTTTCTTTCGTCGCACATTCTCTTCTTCGGGGCACACGACCTTGGCTTCGGTGCACCTTCGCACTCGCACGCCACTTTTTCGGGGGACTTTACCTCCTTTTGCTGGGGATATTCACGGTCGTATGACCTTTTCTCCCTTTCGTTGCCTTTCTCGCCCATTGGCTCCTTCCTGTTTCCTGCTTCTCGCATCGACCCTCGCTCCTCTGTCTCGGTGCATCTTTGATCTTTATTCATTCCGCCCTCGCACGGCGCTTTCCTTCTCTTTCTTTCTTTTTTTAAAAAAACTTCCTTTCTTCCTTCCTGCCCAATAATGTTCGCGCATGCTATCTCCGTTGCTCCGTTGCCGTTTCAATTATTGCCCCCGTTTTCTTGGCTTCACTTATCGTCGCTCTACCCCCGTCATGTTCTTACTTTTCGACGCGTCGGTGTCCGGAGACGGAGACGCTGTGGGTGCTTGGCGCGTCGTTGCTGGCCTGGTGCTCAGGGGGCTGGGCTGGGGCTGGGCTGGATTTGGGCTTGGGCAGGCGAAGGCGAAGGCGCGTCGTTGGGCGATCCATCCGCACAGTCTTGCCTCGGCGACGTGAGGGGAAGGGCATCGACATTGGCATTGGCATTGGCATTGGCATTTGTTTGGGGCGCGGGGATGCCCATGCTCGGATTTCATTCGATTTCTGCATTTGCGTTTTTTGGTTTCTGTTTATCTTTCCCTGCCTTGTTCTTCGTGTTTTCGCCCTTCTTCTTGTGCGTGCATCTTTCGTGTACGTCGTGTCCATGCCGCCCCGTCCGTCTGCTTTTTCTTGCCCATTCCCTCCTTCCTGCTTCTCGCTTCTCGCATGGAGACTTGCTCCTCTGTCTCCGTGCATCTTTTATTGTATTTTTATTCATTCTGTTCCGTGCCCACACAGCGCTTTCTCTCTTCTTTTCTGCCGCCCGTTTACGTTTCCGCATTCGAGCGCGCGGCGTGGCACCGTTGCGTTTCGGCGCCCGCGGTTCTATGCTATTCTATTCCTGTTTTTTTTTTGAGGGGTTTGCTCCTCGGGGGATTTTCGGGCGCCGCGTCGATGCTTCTTTATTTCTGCCTTGTCCCGTCGCCAAGGGCGGAGGGTGGGCATTGCATACGACGCATGCGTGTCCGGGCTCCGGGGCGCGTTTTATTCTATTCTGTCTTTCCCTCCCTCCCTCCCTCCCTCCCTCCCGAGTAGTGATTTGCAGGGCCCGGCTCGGCCTGAATGCCCGGGCTCGGGCTCGGCTTGGGCGGGCTTGGGCTTCACATTCTCCAGGCCCGAGCCCGAGCCCTGGGTGCGGGGCCTGAAGCCCTGAGCCCGGGCCCAAGCCCGGGCTTTCTCATGGCATATAAAATAAATAAATAAAACATTATGCTAGACTGCACATCATAATATTTTTGGGATCATTGAGTGCGGAAGCCTGCTTCCACTGTCGGGGGCCATTCAAGATAAGTGCGGGGTCGGGATTATCGCGGGAACGGGACATTGTTGATGGATTTCTTGGGAACATTTTACTGCACCTTTTATAGACAGAGGGTGTGTATGTAAATGACAAAACAGCGGAATTATAATGGCGGGCAGCAGGATCAGTACCTGGTTAGACACACAGCAGGTAAAATTGTTGCCTGCAGGGACAACTAAACCAGTTTGGTATGGTTTGTTGGCAAACGCACTCGGAAGATAAATATACATACCTGGGCCCGGGCTTGCCGGGCCTACCCCTGGGCCCGCCAAAGCCCTGCAGCGGGCTCGGCCCGGCTTGGTCAAGCCCGGGCCCGGCTCGGCTCGGCTTGCGGGCCTGGGCCGAGCCCTGCAAATCACTACTCCCGAGATTGCATTTCTCCCACTTGACGTGCGCTACGGCGCTTTCCCCGCGTTGGCGCGCGATCCGGGTATTTAAGTAGTTTAGTTTCCGTTTGTATTGTTTCGGTGAATCTTATACTGTATAACAGTCATATTGTTCATCACCAACAAACTCTCGTGTGCCGGAACTCGATTACTCGCTTCCGTCACAAAAAACCTGCGCACACAAACCATTTATGGCTCAGGCCCGAGTCGAACAGGCACCTCCTGTATAGGCAACATCGAGGGAAAGCATAAATTCCGAGTGCTACCAAGCCTTTCTCTCCCTCTATTCACAGATTCATAAACCTGGTATTATTTCTACTATGTTCAAAAACATTGACACGAGGCAAGTATGG